CTCCCTGTGGCTCGAATAACACTTAAAACCACACTGAGTGTGTTTGAACAAAGGAATTCTAATGGGATACCATCTTCCAAAAGCACATAATTAGCTCTGACAGTACATTTTTATAGTATTTTTCTATGATTCTCAAAGCTGCACATTTCCAAATCAACGATGCTTCCTTCTGGTATAACTCTAAGGAAACCAATTAACCAATATGCTGTGGAGGGAATAAAAGCTTAAACAATGTATTTAACTGTAGCTTCTTGTATGATCTGAATTCATTATGGGGAGAGTTCTGCATCAAAAATTGTCACATCCTGGAGATATAATGACCTGTTGCTGTCCAACAATCTGACAATTCAGAACTCACTGTGTGAAAGGCTTTAAGCTAGCACAAAGACACAAAGCACAGAGTCCAGAAATGCAAAGGAAAAGTACTTTTCTCATGTGCTTTTGACCCTAGGCCAGAGAAGAACCCCAATTCCCTGTCCAAATGTTAAACCAACTGCATGCAAAAATCTACATTTTTATGACCCACTTGTGGAGTAGAAGCAGACAGCTGTAACAAAGACTAGAGAGGTCTTTTGCTTGTATTTTCCCTCTTGCCTCTGCATAAAACAAAATTGGTTTTTACTTTCACTTTTCATTAAACATAATCTTTGCTGCTCGTGGCTGCTGTCAGCTCCATGCACTCAGCCCAAAACAGGTAACATCAGAAGTTACAGTACCAGCTGTTCCAACACACAACACAGAATTCAATACCTTTTTTTATCCCCTTTTGCATGTCAAAGACCAGAAATTTAGCATTTTTTTATCCCTCACCAAAAAAAAAAAAATAAATAATGAAATCCTTTTTCTAAGGAAGTTAACATTTCTAAGCAGCATTTCAAGACACTGAAACCTTCTGTTTCAGGGAGTCCCCAAAGCCTGCTCGTCCTTCTACACCAACTAATGCTTCAAAGTTTGCCAAAAAGGTAGCAGATGTGGACAAATGCCCCCGTTGTGGCAAATCAGTCTATGCTGCAGAGAAGATCATGGGAGGAGGAAAAGTAAGTAATTACTTCAGCACCAGAAGCAGAACACTTTTCTAATGTGATAAACTACAGCTAGTAGGTCCCTGATCACTTCAATTTTTATTCACAGCCTTGATGAAGAAAACGTAAGGATGAATTAGCAAATTGCTAGAGGGATGTGCTCTCTGGTTTAAAACCATGTGCTATTTGTAAGCCTCCTTGAACTTTTTGGTGTCTGAAGAGTAACCCCCAAGTACAGTACAGCCTGGCTCCACCTCTGGGGATATTTATAAACATCTCTAGTGGCAATTGCAGATGTAGTAAAGAGATCCTGTAACTAAAACAAAAGAAGACTGTCTCACATGACATGCCAAGCTCTCTGCTCTAGGAACTCTCCCTAGAATAGCAGCTCTGCACATTGAAGAGGCCAAAACAAGAGCAGCATCTCTAGCTCTCTGCCTTTTACTAGACCTCCATGAATAATTGTCCATTACTAACAAAGTCACTAGGTAACATCTTGCCATGGGATAATAACCAAACTGGAAAAAGACTAACCTAGCATGAGGGAGGTAAGGGAGATGATTGTCCTGTTCTACTCTGCACTGGGGTGGCCTCACTCTGAATATTGTGTGCAGTTTTGGGCACCACAATATAAGAAAGGTATTAAGCTATTTGAGAACGTTCAAAGGAGGCAACAAAGATGGTGAAGGGCCTTGAGGGGAAGCCACATGAGGAGTGGCTGAGGGCACTTGAGCTGCTCAGCCTGGAGGAGACTAAGGGGAGACATCACCACTGTGTGCAACTTCCTCACACAAGGAAGTGCAGGGACAGCACTGACCTCTTCTCTCTGTGACCAGTGATGGGACCTGAGGGAATGGTCTGGAATGGTGTCAGAGGAGGCTTAGGTTGGGTATTAGAAGGTTCTTCCCCCAGAGGTGGCTGAGGGCACTTGAGCTGCTCAGCCTGGAGGAGACTAAGGGGAGACATCACCACTGTGTGCAACTTCCTCACACAAGGAAGTGCAGGGACAGCACTGACCTCTTCTCTCTGTGACCAGTGATGGGACCTGAGGGAATGGTCTGGAATGGTGTCAGAGGAGGCTTAGGTTGGGTATTAGAAGGTTCTTCCCCCAGAGGTGTTTGGGCACTGAGCTGAGCAAATGGAATCCACGAGATCAGCAAAACAATTTTAACCTGTTCACAGCATTATTTGTGGCTGTTAGCTATGCCCTTTCTGTAACACCAACTGAACTGTCTCCATTTCCTCAGCCTTGGCACAAGACTTGTTTCCGCTGTGCCATCTGTGGGAAGAGCTTAGAATCCACCAACGTTACAGACAAAGATGGAGAGCTCTACTGTAAAGGTGAGACTTGGAGTGAGCTGAACTGGGATACTGAGTCAATCTAACATTAGTCTCTCTAGACCTACGATTGTAATCGTAACTTACCTTAACTTCAGGAAATTTAATCTTTTTTTTTTTTTAACCACTTTCTGAAAGCTACGGTAACATTGCAGTTGCAGCTTCTACTATTAACATTTAAGTTATAAAGCTGTAATTTTTCTACAGATATGAAATCCTCTCAAATCTGTCCTCAGACCTTCCAATAGAACACTGGTCCTTGCACCTGCACAATCTCACTCAAATCAAAAACCCGCAAAGAAACAGAGCTTCAAAGCTCACCTGAAATGGAATTCTTGCCAGTGAAAGTGTAAAGATACTTCCACTGTATTGGTAGCACAGAAGATATTGCATTAATGCTAAATTATACATTTAGATGTTCTTCTCAGATCCAGAAAGTTCACAGACTTCACTTGACTCCTAGAAACCGCTTAAGAGGAAAAAAATATGCAAAGGTGTTATATCCAAGGCAAAAATTAATAGAGAACCCTAAGGAATACTGAAGTTCATTAACTTGGGGAACATTCTGTCAACCACAAGTGATCAAACCAGCATATTTGGAGAAAAATGCTGACTACTTCCTTAGCAGAGTTGTGACAAATAACTCTGCACACACTTACCAATGCAGATCTCAAATGGAATTGTTTAAATGCCCATTAATACTTTCTTTTAACATTCTTGAAACTCTCTGACTTACTCCTCAGTCTGTATTACTAATCAGACCAAGTTTTACTGAGTATTTTCAGACAGGAAAGTTGCTTTAATGAAAATGTTCCTTAGATCTCAAATACATAGTTTCCTCATTTATTCTGAGATCATCAGATATGACTGTTGTGATTCCCAATTTCACTATTAGGACCTTTCAACACCTGTGGGAAATATGCTATTTCCTTCCCTTTATTAACTTAAATTTGCAGCAACCTGAAAACTAAACCCAAACATTTACCTCTCCCTCCTTCTTTTGCAGTTTGCTATGCAAAAAATTTTGGTCCCAAAGGACTCGGGTTTGGTGGCCTCACTCAAGTGGAAAAGAAA